GCAGGACAAAGGCCCCTCGCGGAGCCCTCAGAACGGGACTGGGCGAACGGACCGCAGCAGGTGCTTCCCTGCCCGGGGGTGTTGGGCCTGGCGGGTTCTGGATGTCCTGGAGAGCGGCCCTTGCCCACAGGTCTGATGGGGACTCGCACGGTGGGGCAGCTGCTGGAGAACGTGTGCCTGCTCCTGGCGTCCCGCACCCGCGACGTGGTCAAGTCCGCACTGGGCTTCGTTAAGGTGGCAGTGGTCGTCATGGACGTGGCGCACCTGGCCAAGCACGTGCAGCTGGTGGTGAGTGCCCCTGCCCTGGGTGGGCAGCAAGACTGCCTCGGTGCCGCCAGCATAGGTCACAGGAGCTCAAAGCCAGCAGGTGGCATGCTTTTTCTGAGCGGCAACTGCTTCATGTGACTGGCCCTTGGTGAGCCCTGAGCCTGGCCTGGTGGGAAGGCAGTAGCACACTGGCCTGCCGCGCTGGAAACCACGAGGCTGACTGTGGATTCGGGTCCCTGGGTTGGCCTGAAAATACACTGGGCACACACACGTGTCCAAGCTGGAGGGCCCCGGAAAAGGGGACGGCAGTGAGAGGAGGGCTCGTCGAGGGTGCTTTTCTTTTTCTCTCATGTGCGTGCATGCTTTTTGTTATGAGTAAAATAAATTTTTAAAAAGAGAGAGCCCTGAAAGGAACCTAGTGGAGGAGAGGAAGGGACCCGGTGCCTGGGGTGTCTCTGATCACCCCCATGTGGCCTCTCCAGAGCCAGGGTTCTGCAGAGCAAAGCCCAGTGGATGGGCCACCCGTCATTTTATGCATAGGGAATCTGAGGACAGAGACTTCCAGTTCTAGGATCACAGGGCTAGTAGCCCTGCAGCCAGAACCGAGGCTCAGGGCTTGGATCAGGCCCCCTCCACAGGGCCCCATCTTGCTCTTTCTCATTATCCTGTGACCTTCCTGGGCAGAGGAGGCTCCCACGCTGGCTGCGGCAGGCTCTGGGGCCCTCAGTGTTACGGGACCCTTCTGCCGGCAGGAACCTCGCTCAGGCTTGCTGCAACCCTGACAGTCCTCCGACCCTCCGTGCATGGTACCCACCACCTCGGTTTCCCACTTCAGCTGGGCCAGGTCACATCAGATCTCCAGGTCCCTCTTGCATCTTCTCTTTAGGTCTGGCCTTTAGTTTGAGGCAGGTAGGGGCAGGTGAAAATCAGCACATCCTACCCCTGCCTTCCAATGCATGTGGCCTTCCCAGGGACTGGGGACAGGGAGAAGGGCTAGAGCAGTGCCCTATGTGAAGTCCATCTGAGGCCAGGTGGGCCCTGGTTGTCCTTACCCTGTTGGGAGACGCTAGGCAGTGAGGTCTGCACCCATATGTGTAACCCGAACCTGGCGGAGGGCTGCCAGCAGCCTGGCTGGAGAGTACTGCGGGGGTGGGTCCAAGAGTCCTGGTGGTTGGTGCTGTTAGAGGCTGTGTGTGAACTGCAGCATCAGATAGACCTGGGCCAATCCCTGCCTCTGGCCACTTAGTACCCCTTAATTGTCCGTGCCGCAGTGTCCTCGTCTGCGATTCAGGGTGACAACATTGTTGTGTTGATTTGTCCCAGGACTCACTGTGAACATACGTGAAGTGTTGGAGACTAGAGCTGTCATCTTGGGAGGGCCGTCTGGACCTGGGTGGGGAAGGAGAGTTAGGGACACCCCGGACGCCCAGGTTATGGAAGCACGGTTGGCCAGGACCAGCACTGCTCTGAACTGCCTTGTAGCTGGGCCTGCGTGTCCCGGGCCCCTGGTCTGACAGCAGTGGAAGGGGGGCAGGTGTTGTCCCCTGAAGCCCTGTTGTCTTGTCTACAGCTGGAGGCCATCGGGAAGCTTTCGGACGACATGCGGCGGCACTTCCGCACCAAGCTCCGGAACCTCCTCACCAAGTTCATCCGCAAGTTCGGGTCTGTGCATCTGGTGGGGATGGGCGGGGTGGAGCGTGGGAGGACATGGGCTTCCAGTCCCACCAGGGGCGCTACAGAGAAGGGGGCTGCACACCCCCCACCTGGGGGGTGTTCTCTGACCAGTGCCTCTCACTGGCCCTCTGTACCACCTCAGGTTTGAGCTGGTGAGGGGGCTGCTGCCTGAGGAGTACCACAAAGTCCTGGTGAACATCCGGAAGGCCGAGGCCCGGGCCAAGAGGCACCGTGTCCTGAGCCAGGCTGCCACGGAGGAGGACGAGGACGAGGAGGAGGAGCCCACCCAGGGCAGAGGCGACAGGTGCAACCAGCTTGGGGGCCTGGGACCAGAGCCTGCTCAGGCAATGCCCTGCCGTCCCCTGCCTCTCCTGGGAGTGCGCTGACCAGGGGCTTCTCCATCCTTAGCATTGAAGAGATTTTAGCTGACTCGGATGGTGAGGAGGACGAGGAGGAGGAGAGAAGCCATGGCAAGGAGCAGCGGAAGCTGGCTCGACAGAGGAGCCGGGCCTGGCTGAAGGAGGGTGGTGGCGACGAGCCCCTCAACTTCTTAGACCCTAAGGTGGCCCAGCGTGTCCTCGGTAAGCAAGGAGCTACTGGCGAGAGCTCCGGAGACAGGCTTGCTTTGGCACTGCGTTCATGGCGGGTGGGGGCGCTGCTGTGCCAGGCCAGAGGGCAGGAGCCGAGAGGCACCATTTGGGGCATGGAGCCAGCTCACTAGTTCTGGAGGGTGCGAGTGGGTAGGATGGCTTTCCACCACCTCATGCCCCGTCTACACTCCAGCCACACAGCCCGGGCCAGGCCGGGGCAAGAAGAAAGACCACGGCTTCAGAGTGAGTGCCGACGGCCGGCTGATCATCAGGGAGGAGGGGGACGGCGACCAGGTGGAAGAAGAGGAGGCCAATAGAGGTGAGCGCCGCTGTCCTGGGGGGCTGCTGCTTCGAGCCTGGGCCAGCGCCGTGCTCAGGTCTACACAGATGGGGGCAGCTTGTACCCAAGGCACCTTTCTCCAGCTTGGGGTTTCCTAAACTTCCTGTACCACACAAGGAAACGTGGTCGCAGCTTAGCCATGTGCACAGGGCACAATGCCTAGTTCTCTGGGCGCTCTGGGAAGACGGCCTCCCCTAGGTGAGCAATATGCTGGTCTACCTCCCTTCTGTTTCTTTCCTTTCTCTCTACTCCCATTCCTCCTGTTTTTTAAAACACAAACTTGGCTGAGGCCCCAAAGCTCAGAGGCAAAAGGAGCTGGCCAGGCCCTCCCTGTGCCCAGCCCACATGTGGTGTCATCCAGGGTCCCTCAGGGTCATGTCCAGAGGCTTGCTGAGTCTGCCCGGCCCCTCTCCGCCAGCCGTTCATGGGCAGGAAGTGTCTTCCTGTCTGCTGCTGCCCCGCCTGCACTCTCACCAGCCGTATCTCACTGACGGCCCCGCAGTCGGGGATGCTCACTGACCACATCTGCCTGTCCTACGGAGTGGGGCCGTGGGACTGGAGGGACGGCATGCACGGCTCTCACCCATGTGTGGTGCTGCCGTGCCTGGCTCGCCTCGCCCCTTCGTACCTCCCAGTCCCCGCTTCCCTCAGCGCCAGGGCATTCCCGAGGCACGGACATCCCCGCCCGCTCTGCCTTTCTGAGCTCTCCCTGATCTTTTTTATTAGTTTCTTGTAGGGCACGTGCACTGACCAGAGAGAGATGGAGAGTGAGAAGGCGCCACTCGGGGATGCCATCTTGCAGTCCCTTCTCCACTGTCCTCTTGGGATTGGGGGCACACATGCACTCACGCACGCCCGGCTGTTAATCCCGATTGTTAAGACCAGCTCAGGTCCTCTGTGCCTTGCCAGGGCACCTCAGCCTTTAGGCACTGTCCCTGAGAACACCTGCCAACCCAGGGACTGCGGCTTCAGCACTTCATTTCATACTGTCTGACTCTTCCCTCCGGCTGACTTGTTTCCTGTTTCTTTACACCCCCCTCCTCGCTGCCCAGCAGTGTTGGGGACACCAGGTCTCTTCTCTGTTCACACTAGAGTGTGTGTGAGCCCACCTTGGAGGGGCAGGGACGGTCGTGCGTGACCCCTTCTCCCAGTCCACTAGCCATCAGCTCTCAGGCTCTCAGTGTGTGCCGAGTGTGTCAGGCCGACCGAGCTGGCAGTCAGACCACCACCTCCGTGTGGGATCTGGCTTTGAGTCGCACATGATTGTGGCACCACAGAGCCCGCCCCAAGGCAGCAGGTTTTCTAGCCGGAAAATGAAGGGGCTGTGGGGACTGGAGGAATGCCTGACTCCTTGGGAAACCTGGGGCTCTCTGGGTCTCAAAACCATATTCACTTTGCAAGTAGGGTCACTTCCTTGAGGGGCCACTGTCCCTGGGCCCTAGGGTGGGAAAGGGAAAGGGGCAGTGTTCAGGGGTCTCATCTCTCACAGAAAGAGGACATGGGTCTGGAGAAGGCAGGTTTCTGGGGCTGGAGTTGTCGCCCCTCAGCCTGGTGAGCCAGGAGGAGGCAGGAGGAAAGGGGGTGTGGGAGCTTCCCGAGTGCTCACAGCTGTCCTTGACTCCAGGCGAGGATGAAGAGATGGCCGACCTAATGGAAGACGCGGGCATCAAGAGGGTGAGTAATTCCTACAGTGGAGGGCCAGGGCTCAGGCCCAAGCCCCACACCTTCTCACCCCCATACTCACACTGACACACACGCACACGGCACCTGCATCGCTTCCTGAATGCTCCGCGGATCCTCGAGGGTGTGCCCGGTGGGGAGTCCAGGGGGCTAAGGGGTGGGTGGAGTGCTGACGGCTCTGTGGGGCCGGGGAGGACTCAGATTCCTCTAGAGCACAGCATATGCCTTTGCTGGCCGTCCAGTCGGAGGCGTGTACGGTACAGTCCAGGGGGTGGCACTGGCCTGCACGCTGTGGAGCCAGGGCCTCTACATGCAGGGACACGCGCTACCAGGCCTTGTCACCTCGCCTAGTCCTCATGGAACAGGGACTCTTCATCTGTTTCCAGAGGAGATGTTCGGAGGTAGATAGCCTACCTGAGGTCATGGTGCTCAGTAGATGCAAACCAGAGATTTGAACCCTGGCTTTCCAGTCTTCTCAGCCCAGGAGTTTAACCCCCTGTGACTGTCAGCCCATGAGAGCCGGCGTGCTGTCTCCCAGGAAGGAGTACTGACTCCCTGGACTGCCCCACCTGTCAACAGAGACCCGGCGTTCACATGCCCAGTGAACATCGTGGGGACACTCCTGGGGCAGTTTCTCCTTCTGTCCCCAGGGCCACGTCTAGCCTCCAGCCTTCGGGGCATTGCCTTAGGTGATGGTGTCCGGAGGGACACACACAGTAGTACTTGTGTCTAAGAGGGAGGCTCTGGGGTCCCATCTTGGGTTTATTTGAAACTTTGGAAGCCTCAGTTCCTGGGGTTACAGGCAGATAGTGCTGCAGTTACTGGGACCCTGATAAGACTGGGCATGTAGGGGCCAGCAGATGGCGTGGTGGTTAAAGTAGCTGGATCTCACATGGTCAACTCTGCAGTTCGAGTCCTGGACCCAATACTCAAAAGACACACCAGGCACATGTGCATGTGGGCCCAAATTCCTGAGAGGAGAATGGAGAAGGGGTTGCAGCATGGCCAGTTCCCCAAGGGCTGATTTCTCACTTTCCCTCTCTCAATCTCTTTCTCGTGATCACTCGCATTCTGTGGCAAAAACAAAAAAAAAGAAGTGGGCATATCGAGTTGAGCACAGCAGCTGACATGACACGCTCCCCAGACACATTTGCCCCGGGTGGTACAGTGCTGCCTGCCTGCTGTGGCCCAGGAAGATTGTTACCCGAGTACTGTACCAGTGCAGACCTGGCAAGAACCAGTCGGGGCGGGCAGCTGCGTGCCCTCAAGGCCCTGGTGCGGCAGCCGCGCCGGGATGCCCAGGAGCAGTAGTCGTGCCGCCGACGCACACCGCCCCCCACATCCTGTTCTTGTGCAGGGCAGCGCCTCTCCCTGGCAGTTCCTCGTCTCCTCGGGCAGAAATCTGCCGTCCGTATGCCCGTTTCCTGGTGGCGGCAGTAGGCTGTCAGGTGCATGTTTCCCCAGGCCTGGGCTTACACCTGGCCCCTGTGCAGAGTGCTTGACACTTGGTGACACCATCTAGGCTGTGACTTTTAATTTTTTTCTCTTTACTGGGTTGTCAGAAAAATCATGACATATTTTTTCATAAAAATGTAGAAAAATATGTCATGATTTTCCCAGCGACTCAAGTTACAAAGGCAGCGTTTGCTCACCAGTGAGAGAGGAACAAGGAAAAGTCACCCAAATCACCCCATAGGTGGGGTGACCACGCCACAATCCCTTCTCCACTTTGGATTTGAGGCCCAGCCTGTTTTTCAAGCTGCCAAGTCCAGGACTTGAACCATACAGTTGACCATGTGGGATCCAGCCGCCTTAGCCACCATGCCACCTGCTGGCACAATTGTGACTGCTCTTATTGCCGCTGTTCATTTTCATCGGAGAGCTTCTAGTTGAGCCTCCCTGCTCCTTCAGGATGTCTTTATGCACGGCTTTGCAATCCCTCACAGCTTCCTTATTTCCAGCCTGGGAGCTCTGACCGTGGTCCTCTCTGAGGATGGCCCAAAGCTCACAGCAGAGCCGGACTAGGTGGACACCTTGTCCTGAGGCTCTGAGAGGGCCCTAGGGTGTCCACTCTGTGGCTGGCTCAGGACTGGTCAGCATCTGCTCTGAGATCCCAGAGGCCTCTCTCCCAGCAGTTGCCAAGTCCGGCTCTTCTGCCTGTAGCTGTGGGAGTGTAAGAGGCTAGGGTACAAGTAGTGACCCCCCCCACCAAAGGCCAAGGGTCTAGCTCAGCGGACTTCTGTCAAAGTCATGCCTACTCCTGGCTTCTTTCTCCCCTGGAGCCTGCTCTGCTGGGCTCCAGCCAGCAGGCCTGCTGTCCCCATTTCAGACACAGTTGGTGTGCTTGGCCCACCCCTCTCCTCCGACTGACCCCTTTACCTGATGCCTTCCCACTGCCCAGCTTCCCAGCCCAGAGCCTGTGAGTTCTCGGCATGGATCCTGAAGGCCCCAGAAGCTGCAGTTTCAAGAGGCTTCCTGAGTTCAGGCGGGCAGAGGCCGCAGTGTGGGCGCCTACCCAAGCTGGCGTCTCCCCGTGTGACTCCCAGCCCACCTGCCTCGTAGCAGTGCTCAGTCACTTCTGTCGTGTGCAGTTAGCGGGTCAACCCGTCCCGTGCCCACGCTCACAGCTGCTAGGGTGGTAGTGCTGTGGAGGGATAGGAGCGTTCTCCCCCTGCCCGAGAGCCTAGGGAGCACAGGGGCGGTTCCTCGGTGGTGTCCAGGCCCTGTGTCTGAGAACGGGGTCCTGTTTTCTAGGGGTGTCTGACCCTGGCTCTGAGAAGGGGATCCTCTTCCTGGGGGGCACCGAGGGCCTGGGTCTGAGCAGGGGAACAGTGAGTGCGCGTCTGTGGGAGGTGCAGCACTGGGAAGGCTGTTCTCGGAGGCGGGTCAGGGTGGCTGGGACTGAGCTGGGTCAGTGCCAGGCAGCCATTGCGGCCCTCGGTGGAGCTCTGTGTGGGCACCTGCAGTCAGGACGTGGTGAGGGCCTCACCCCAGCACCAGCTAGCCACGTGGCCTTGGGAAGCCACCTGCCCCCGCTGGGCCTCAGTGTCCTGGTCTAAGCGGGGAGTCACGAGCTTAGAGAGGGTCCCAGGTGCTCAGCGTGTTCCTGTCGTGGTTGCTGTTGAGGATGAGGACGGTCACGGCCGCCTCTCGCTCACCTCCTGCTTACTACCTTTTCACAGAAAAGGCACCAGAAGCTTAAGCATGGAAAAGAGGCAGAGGAGGAGGAGCTAGAGTTACCACCTCGGTACCAAGGTAAGGCCTCCCTGTGCTCTCAGACATGCCAGTCCCTGTCACCCGGTTAGGTGGGGCTCCAGGGGGCCAGCAGGGCCTGAGGCTGCATAGCCTGGCCACACCGTCGGCCCCCGAAGACTGGCTGATAGGACACTGAGGGCCCGGCTTGGGAGGCAGGGGTTAGAGCTACATGTGGAGTGCCCATTCCTCTGGGGACCCCTGCACCCTAGCTCTCTCTCCCGGGTCTCTGTGAGGCTCATAGCCCACCCATAGCTCTCTGCCGCTCCTGTCTACCCTGAGAGCTCTGGCCCCGCATCCGGCCTGTCGAGGATAAGGGCCTGGCCAGAGGGTTCCCTCTACATTTGATTTTTGGGCCACAGATATTGCCCACCCAGGAGTAGCCACTGAAAGTGCCAAGGTGGCTCTGCCCCGTCCTCCCAGGGCATTCCCACAGGGCCCTGAGCAGACCCCTTGCTGTGCATCGGGGTCCAGGGCTCCTGTGGGGAGTCTCTGACCCGGCAGCAGGTGGGTCCTCAGCCCGTGTCCTGCCAGGCTCCTGTGGCCCCACAGGCCAGGCCACGAGGTGAGAAGCCTGGCTCAGCACTCTCTGCTCAGCTCTGAGGCCTTGGCCTAGTCTCACTGCCTCTCTGAGCTTCTAGTTCCTCATGTACAGAAGGGTTCATGCTGGCCGTCTCAGTCCTCCCAGTCGGCCCTGTAGGCCCTGCCCATAGCAGTACAGAAGTCCAGGCCAGGGCTGACCTCGGATAAGGACCCTGACCTCTAAGCCCACTTTCCCCCTGAACAGTGGGTAAATAGCTACTCTCCTATCTGGATGTGAAGCCCAGGCACGGTGAGAGTGGGAACGCCTAACGGCTTGTTTTACAGACAGATCCAGAGAGTTACAAGACTGGGCCAGCAGGTAGTGTAATGGTTATGTCGCTGGACTCCCACGTAGCTCACCATAGATTGAGTCCCAGACCCGGTGGCTTAAAACTGATGCTGGGCATGTGTGCATGCATGCCCAAAACCCTGAGAGGAGAATGGAGAAGGGAATGTGGTGGGCCATCCCCCCGGGGGGTGATTTCTCGCTGTGTCTCTTTCTCTCTCTGCCTCTCCAGTGAGTGCATGCACCCTATAGCAAAAATCTCTCTTTAAAAATAAAGTTAAGAGACTATGCCTGAGGTTAGAGCTGCAAGTAGCAGACCTGGGAATTGAACTGGAGTCTGTCTGATGTGAAAACCCATGTCTTTCTCCTAGAACAAACAGAGCAAATTTAACTTTGGAGACCATGGGTTATTTTTGTTGGTAGAAGATACGTATGTTCCCAGAGGTCACTAGGAGGCCTCTGAGGATTAGAGTCAGCCTGAGGGGTCCAGTGGCCTGTGGTCATGTGGGACAGTCCTTCAGCAAGGAAGGTCTTACCTTGGCCAAGTTCATCCGCCCCCGCAGCCCTGCGTGAGGAGGGGCCATGGCCTCCTGCAGGAGGAGGTGCCCTGCCTAGCCCAGCTCACGGTCTGGTTCTCCCCACAGCTGGAGGCTCCGGCATCCACCGGCCTGTGGCTAAGAAGGTTGCACCCGGGGCTGAGTACAAAGCCAAGGTGAGTCTGCGGGCGGGGGCCGAGAACCTCGGGGAGGAGCGGCTCAGCTGTGCTCCTGTCCTGGAGAGAGTCTCTGGAACCAGAGGCCGGGGGGAAGAGGGACTCACTGAAATCTGAGGCCAGGCTTGGTGGTGGCCATCCTGGGCTGCAGGAGCTTTTCGGCACCACCTGAGACAGAGAAGGGAGGGAGGATTCGGGACCTGTCGAGTTGGGGGGTAGGGGGGAGCCCCACACTTCTGACTGACTTTCTCTGGGTGAACAGAAAGCGCAGGGCGACGTGAAGAAGAAAGGCCGGCCTGACCCCTACGCCTACATCCCCCTGGTTAGAGCCAGACTCAACCGCAGGTACAGGGCAGGGGCGGGTACAGGGTGTGCACCGGGCAGGAATGGGGTGGTCTGGGGTGTGCTGAGGTTGGGCAGGGCCTGGCAGGGACAGGCTGGGGAGCTCAGTGCTCAGAGAAGAGAGGGCTTTGCCCTCTGTGTTTCAGTTTAGATGGTGTCTTGCTGGGTGGTGATCCTCATGCCTCAGCCTCCTGAGTGGGGGACAGGCACGTGCCACTGTACCCAGCTTGTTAGGATCGCTGGGAATCAAGCCCAGGCCTCCCACGTGGCCTCAGCCTGCTGAGCAGCAGTGCCCACTGTGCTTGCTCAGCTGGGCTGGAAGTCATCATTTTAGCAGTTTTGTGTAATCCGTATTTCTAGCTGCCCTGGTGGCAAGAAGTTTGAGTTTGGCCATTAAGCAAGGCTCTCAGGTAGGTGTGTGGGTATGTGAGCGACGAACCATGGGAGAGCTTTGGAAGCTGGCGTTACCAGGGGACAGAGGGGCCTGGATGGGCATCTAAAACGCTGCTGAGGGCTCATTCAGTAGTAGCACAGCACTTAAGTACAGAGCGTCGAGGGCCGAGTCCCACACAGCCGATTGCAGCTCGAACCCCTGCCCTGGTGGCTCAAGAAACATGCCGGGCCTGTGCATGTGTGCCCCAAATCCTCCCGGATAGAGACATGAGGAAAGGGGCTGCATAGAGCCACATCCCACTGCGGGTGCTTGTCATCTCTGGGGAGTGCACGTGCCCTCTGGCAGTTACAAGAAGATAAGCAAGACAAAACACTTCCGCTAAGTAGAAGGTCCCTCTAGTGGAAGGGGTGGTGGCTGGAGTGAGCCCAGCTTCTCGTGTACAGTAGGGAGGAGGGTGCTGCTTCTGGGAGATCACGCTAGGTGGAAGGGCTGAGCTGCGTGGTCTGCTTAGCTCATGTGCTGTGCTGACCCGTTGTTTAAATTTAGGGGAGGGGGCCTGCCAGTTCTCCACGAGATGTGACCCTCTTCCTCTTCCTTGTCCCTGCAGGAAGAAGGTGAAGCTTCAGGGACAGTTCAAAGGCCTGGTGAAGGCCGCTCACCGGGGCGCCAAGGCGGGGCACAAACTCCGCAGGAAGGATCGCAGGTCCTGAAGTGCCTGGCTGGGCCCCCCGAGGCCCCGGCACTTCCCCAACACCCTGGGACTCTGGCGGAGCCTGGACTCAGAATGGCTAGTTGGAACCAGTGCTCAACTCCCGGAGACGCCCAGGATTTTGGAAGCTCCAAACAGGAACCAGCCTCTAGAGCCATCTCTGGTGTGCAGAGATGGGAACGCGGCCTCGCTGCCTCTGAGCATCCTGGTGAGGGCCGTGCTCCGCCCAGGCTGGCCGTGAGCACAGAGTGGACAGCCCTGCTGACCCTCCTGCTGCTCGTGGCCGCGTGCCCTCCCACCATGGCTGTGGTCTGGTGTGTGAGTCACTGTGACCAGATTCAGAATAAACATGCGTCGTCCTGAAAACACTATTGGCTGGCCCGCCGCCCACCCCAGGGTGGGAAGGGTACCAGCTACTGGACCCCTCCCCGTTCAGCCGACATCAGCGCAGGGGGTGGTGTGGTGTTTCCCATGGGCCAGGCCATGAGGCTTGCCAGGAGTGCCCACACACATCAGTGGGACTCCCTAACTTCACTTTACCAGTGAGAAAGTGCTGTGTACGGGTCAGGAGTGGCAGCCAGGGCTCGGGGGCTGGACCCTGGACCTTCAGTGGAACGCCGGGCACCAGAAGGAGGCCGCCGGCTGAGGATGGCAGAGCTGCAGCATTGGCTGCCCCTGGGCCCCAGGCTCTGCCGCATCTTTGCCCATTGACTTGGCAGGTGCCTCCCAAGCCCCTCCATGTCCGCTGCACGGCCTGCTCCATCCCCCTGGGTCTGTTTCCTAGACCCACCTATGCAGCGTGGCTCGTGGCCCAGCTGTGTTGGGCAGGAGCAGAACTGGGACTGGTGCAGCCCCCTGCTTCTGAGCGCACTCACCTTTCAGCCCAGGGTCCTACCTGGGGGCTTCCCCAGCGGGCACCAGAACCAGAGACCCCGGGTGAGGGGTACGCTTTGTCCCTGACACCATCCTCGAGTGTTCCTGTTTCAGTCTTCCCCCGTGGGATGAGGCTAGTGCCCTCGGCTCTGATGATGCTTCCAGGAGGCCCTGTGTCCCTCACGATGACACATCCCACCTTACTATACCATCTCAGTCTCTAGGGGAACCGAAGTGTTAACTGGCCCCCAGTGCCCTCCCAGATTAGGGTATTTCCTTCCAGTGACTAGCTAGGAAGCTAAGAAGAGCCACACTTGGCCCAGAGCTGGCGCTGTGCACATGCCATGTTTGCAGAACTCAAAATGGAAAACAAGCGAGAAAAGCGGTCAAAGGGGTAGCTATTGATGTGCGTGGTGACCCGTGACCCCCTTTTCACTCCCAGATATGAGCTCCGTCCACTGAAGCTCATCCCAGTGCTCCCCTGTGCCCTTCCCAGAGTACAGCATGGCACCAGGATAGCAGGTGTGGGTGTGAGTCAGTTGCCAGCACTGCTCTTGAGAAAGTGAGGCCAACCTGCTTATTAGAGCGCTTCCCAAGGAGCTGTGTTTTCTTTCAAAGGTAGGAGGGGCAGGTGACCTAGTGAGGTTGGTGTTAGTGATGTGCCGAAAGCTGTGTTCTTTTGGAGGTTGACTTCAGGTGCAAAGTATTCAAATGCTCTTGATGCAGAGGCAAGAATACATCTGTCCCAGAAGCCAGGTTCTTAAAACACCTGTTAGGAAAGTGCTGCGTTTGTTCCACAGCAGGGAGTGGGGCGATCTCGGGATCACTCATCAACACAGGTGTCACTGGGTTTCGGGGTAAATAGGAATGCTGAGAGCAGGCCAGCTGGTGGTGTGGTGGTTACGGTGCTGGCTCCCACATGGCCGGCTGTGCGGTTCCAGGCCTGGACCAGCAGCTTGAGAAGCACACCAGGTACTTGTGTGTGTGTGTGTGTGTGCCCAAGTCCTGAGGGGAGAGGTGGAAAAGGGATTGCAGCATGACCATGCCCTGTAAGGGGTGGTTTCTCACTTTCTACATTTCTGGTGAGCTTACCTGCCTTTTGGCAAATTAAAAATAAGGAAAAATGGGGGCCAGCAGTTGGTGTAATGGCTATGTCGCTGGACTCCCATGTAGTTGACTGCGGTTCAAGTCCCGGACCAGGCACATGTGTGTGCACACCCAAAATCCCAAAGGGGAAGTGGAGGAGAAGGGATTGTAATTTGACTGACCCCCACGGGGGCTACTTTCCCACTTGCCTCTTTTCTTTTTTTTGGAGAGGTTTTTGCTATAGGGTGCATGCACTCGCCAGAAAGAGAGACAGAAAGCGAGAAATACCCCAGTGGGGATGGCCACTCTGCGGTCCCTTCTCCTTTCTCCTCTCAGGACCTTGGGCACGCACGCACACGCACCCACCGTGAGTTCAAGCCACTGGGTCCGGGACACGAACTGCAGTCGACTACATAGGAGTCCAGCGACATAACCATTATACTAACTGCTGGTCCCCCCACTTGCCTCTTTCTCTCTCCCTGGTAGGCACAAGCACCCCTAGCAAAAATTACATGACTAAGTAAAATCAGGAAAACAGTGGCAATGACAGCCTACCGACGAGAAACCCACCTTTTGCCCAGGCTACTTCGGACACCAGTTCAGTTCATACACCACCCTGCAGCCTCGGCGGTTGTAGTGAATGTGAGTGAGCAGGGCAAAGGAGTCGTGCTTCAGCGCATGCGTGGTGCTGTCATGGAGGCGGGACAGTTTTAACTTGGGATACACCTGCCAGTGGGGACCATGCCCTGTTCTGGTTCGTGCAGGAAAATTGGACCGTGCCCTCTGAGACCGTGGCACTGCCTGCTGGTGAGCTTCTCTGAGCTACTCGGCTCCTGCTTCCTACACGGGCAGGCAGGCCTGGATAGAATTGCCAAGCCCAGCTCTTCTGGCGTGCAGCAGAGACGTCCTTTTCCCTCTGGCCTTGTACAGATAACATCCTGTCCGTCATGTGTGGACTTGAAAGGTTTAGCTCCCAGAGGGCAGCCTGATTCCCCAGTGTCAGGGATGTCACCCCATAGGCCTTAGGTCCCAATGACAGAGCTGATCGCTAGGTCAGAATCTCAGAGGATCTGAGGCACTGACGACAGGCAGATGGATTTGTGAATGGTGCCAGAAATAGCCTGCAGTCCTCCCGGCCCGCTGCCCCTCTGCAAGCTCTGGAAAAGCCTGGCCTTGAACCAGCACCGCTCTGTGCTGGAGATCTTGTATCAAGGCCGCTGAGCTGAGGTACTTGCACAGCAGCTACGCTGAGACCAGCCCGCGCTCGTGAAAATGGCCAGCATGGGGGACAAGCAGTTAGCATAATGGCTATGTCACTGGACTCCCACGTAGTCGACCGTGGTTCGCTTCCTGGACCCGGTGGCTTAAAACTCATGCTGGGTGCATGTGCGTGCGTGCCCAAGATCCCAAGAGGAGAACAGAGAAGGGATTGCGGCGTGGCCATCCCCCCTGGGGGGGTGATATCTCGCTTTCTGTCTCTCTGTCTGTCTGGCGAGTGCACGCCCTATAGCAAAAACCTCTCCAAAAAAAAAAAAAAAATGGCCGGCAAAGCAGTGCCCTGCGGTCTCCACCGCTGGTCCAGGTCCGCTGGTTCAGGTCGTGCTTAGCTAAAAGGGCCAGCCTCAGTCCAGCAGTTGGTTGGACTCCTCGGAAGTAGGGGGGGTGCACCTCCAAAGCAAACACTCGTAATAGTCAGCAGCACTGACATCCATGAGCACCATCACGTGGGTCACGTGGGTCCCCGTCCTAGGGATTTCACACCAGAGCCTGGTGTCTGTTGCAGGCATGGTCTCACCTGCCCCACACCTGCCTGTTTTTGTTTTTGCCATAGGGCACGTGCTTACTAGAGAAGGGAAGTGAGAGATCATCCTCCAGAGGAGATGCCATACTGCAGTCCCTTCATTCTCTTGCACATACATGTGCCTAACATGAGTTTCAAGCTGCTGGGTGTAGGACTCGAACTGTGGTCGGCCACATGGGAGTCTGGCACCTTCACCACCACATCACTTGCTGGCCCCTACCTGCCTGATTTAAATCTCCAGTACAGCCAGGGCACTCACAGCCCGATCTTACACAGAGCCCGGGAGCTTACCAAACACACCTACCCACCTCTTTTTTTGAGAGAGTTTTGCTATAGGACTCATGCACACATTGGAGAGACAGAGACGGAAAGCAAGAAATCATACCTCCCCCTCCCTGGGGAATGGCCTTGCCACATCCCTTCTCCATTCTCTTCTCAGGATTTTAGGCACGTATACAGACGCACCTGGCGTGCTATAAGTCTCTGGTCTGGGACTTGAACTACGGTCCACTGTGGAAATCTAGGGACGTAACTATTAACAGCCATGTGCTGGTACCCCACCATCTCTTTTGATCCCCTTGACAGTTGAATTATGGTGATGGTTATTGTGCTTCTCGTATTGCAGCTGTGAACCCATGGCAGCGCAGAAGCGTGCTTTGGGCAGTCACACATGTGGCATGAGGTAGTGCCAGGCCTTCAGAGTTCAAGCCTGGTCAGCTGCAATCTGCCTAATTTAGCTGCAGGGAGACCGCAGTGTTGCAGTCTTCGCTGTGAATTTCTAAATGCCATGTGAGGTGGGGACACCAGTGTCTGTCTTCCTGTTCCAGCTTGGGCTGGACCTGTCTTGAAGTTCTTCATACCAGGCTCACTGTTTTTACCTAGATTGTTGGTATGTGTATGTGTGTGTGTGTGTGTGTGTGTGTGTGCATGCGCGTGCATGCGTGCCTGTAGTTGGAGGTTGAGGCTGGTGTTGCTAAAGCTCTTCCACGCTCAGACCATGCTTCTGCAGGCAGAGGGAGAGGGGTGCTCCAGACAGACAGTGTGTGCAGGGCCAGCAGGTGGCGGGTGCTTCAGGTGCTGGACTTCCCCTTGGCTGACTGCATGGTTTGAGTCTAGGACCCGGTGACTTGAAAAACACATGAGGCACATGTGCATGCCCAAAATCTTGAGAGGAGGATGGAAGAGAAGGATTGATGTGGCCATCTCCCCTGGGGGGGTGACTTCTCACTTTCTCTTTCTTTGGCAAGTGCATGTCCCCTGTGGCAAGTTGAGGAGGAGAATAGTGTGTGCAAAGGGTGTGGGAAATGACCTCTTTAAAGAATGGACTGGAGGGTGGGGCGTAGGTGGCATGGTGCTTGGTGCTGAACTCCCACATGGCAGACTACAGTTCAAGTCCCGGACTTGCTTTTTCATTTTTCCTCTCTGCCTGGTGAGTGCACATGCCCTAGAGCTTTTTTGTTTTTTGGATAGGTTTTTGCTATATAGGGCGCGTGCACTCACCAGAAAGACAGAGACAGAGAGACAGAAAGTGAGAAATCATCCCTCAGGGGATGGCCATGCTGCAATCCCTCCTCCATTCTCCTGGGATTTGGGACGCGTGCGTGCGCA